ATCCCCTGACTCCCTTCCCATGGGACCCCTTGATTCCCTTCCCACAAGACCCCCCCGGATCCCTTCCCACAGGACCTCCCTGGATCCCTTCCCACAGGACCTCCCCGGATCCCTTCCCACAGGACCTCCCCGGATCCCTTCCCACAGGACCTCCCTGGATCCCTTCCCACAGGACCTCCCTGGATCCCTTCCCACAGGACCCTTCAGCTCCCTTCCCATAGGACCCCCTGACTCCCTTCCCCTTGATTCCCTTCCCACAAGACCCCCCCGGATCCCTTCCCACAGGACCCCCTGGCTCCCTTCCCATGGGACCCCCTGACTCCCTTCCCACAAGACCCCCCTGGATCCCTTCCCACAGGACCCCTTGGCTCCCTTCCCATGGGATCCCCTGGTTCCATTCCCATGGAACCCCCTGGATCCCTTTCCATGAGATCCCCTGACTCCCTTCCCATGGAACCCCCTGGATCCCTTCCCACGAGATCCCCTGGATCCCTTCCCACGGGACCCCCCCGGATCCCTTCCCACGGGACCCCCCGGCCACCACCACACCGGGGGAGCCTGGAGAGGATCCCAAAAAAAGGGAAAGCGAAGCAAAACAAACCTTCCCCGCGGGGGTGGAGGGGGGGGTTGGGTGCAGGAAGGGGGGAAATCCTGTTTGTCGCGTGGCTCCGGGGTCGGGCGGCGCCGAAGGCGTCGGGAAATTGGGAACAATTCCTCCCTCACTTTTCCCATGGAGAAAGGGGGGATGTGGAATCCGAGGGGGAATCTCAGGCTCCGCCCCCCTTCCTGCCCCCCCCCCCACTGTCACTGGGAGGGATTTTGCTGGATAAACCAGTTAAACCAGTTACACCAGTTAAACCTGTTGCCTTAGGGAAATAAACCGGTTGAACCAGTTCCATTGGGGAATGGAACCAGTTAAACCAGTTACACCAGCTCCATTGGGGAATGGAACCGGTTAAACCAGTTCCACCAGTTCCATTGGGGAATGGAACCGGTTAAACCAGTTCCACCAGTTCCATTGGGGAATGGAACCGGTTAAACCAGTT